GTGAAAATACCTCAGAAACTCAAACAAATAGGCTTCAACAAGGCTTTAATAAGCTAAACAATAGAGGTACATGAGAAAACGTGTTCATAACAAATGAAAGTAAATAATTAAATTGAGTCCGTGCTGGTGTCAAACCCTGGTCTCCCACTCTCTGGTCCAACATTCTACCCATTGCCCTATTGGAGGCTTGTTGTGAAATGAGCTGCACATTGCACAACAACAACCGTGAAGGCTTTTTATACTGAGGAGGTGGAGCTTCACCCGGGGGTTTCTAGGTAAGGGGCTGAACGCAGGTTCCGGTGGGTTGTCGTACGGCTTGTGACATCACAAAATAACGGAAGTATAAAACTTGTCGTTAATATACATAAAAAATACATTTACTTACATTAAATATGCCCMTGGGTGCATTTTTTTGGTCCTAGGACTGTTTTTTTAAGAAGTACATACCCAAAGTTGAGTAAAAAAAAAACTTTAAAAAGTGAATTTTGTGTAATAGGTCCCCTTTAAACATAAGAACTAAATCAGAAAAAAAAAACATGATTTCAAAGACTATAATTTTTCAATGCATTTTCAATCTCCAATGTTTGCTCCTCCTGTTTGTCAACTGTAGCTCCGCCTCCTGGCTTTACTGAATTTTCTCAAATTTCACCTATAAAAGAGACGTGAATGCTTTTTTCCTCGATCGATGAAGCATTTTGAGTTGTTGATTTTTGTCACATTACATGTTTAGTTTTGATTTGATATCTGTGTTGAAGTTTAGTTACTGACTGTAAATCTGACACCCCATTGTTGAGAGGTCTGAGCCAGGGGAATAGATTGGGCAACTGAACGCTGGAGGGGGTCTGTGTTCAAAGTCAAAACCTGAGTGCAGTCGCACACTCTTCTTGTTGACACATGGTGAACTGGACATAAATATTAGCAGTTTAGCTTTAGCTTCTGCCATTTTTTTGTAGTCAATTCAGCTCTTTTACTGCTAGCTGAACTAAGAAATTTGTTTAGCTTTTAATGAAGCTAAGCTGTGCTCCACACTTACACTTTGCTTTAAGCAGCACCTTTCTTAAACAATCTAAGTCTGTCCAAACCCTTTTCACACCATGTGACAGGGATACTACCTTAAAAATACACTGAAACATTGCTCTCGTCTCTGTGCTAACAGTTGCGTGACACTGAATCAGGAGACTGATAGTTTGGTCCCTCCTTCCTTTATTGCAGTGTTGTTTGTTGTCTTCACAGAACAATGAAAGTATTCAAAGAACACGGCCACGAAGCCCCCGCTGCAGCCCAGCTTAGCGCTCTCAGCTGCAGTCGGATAGTTGAGGGCAATGGAAAAGTTGTGGGCTGTCAGCATTGTTCTAGAGAAAWTCAGAGTGATAGCAAATGGCACCAGAATCTACAAATGTTCTCTGTTTGAAGTTGTCAAGTATTATCCATTATAATGTGTCCTTACAGAAAGACCAATGAGGTCAAACTTTCTCATTTTTCATAGTGAGTYGCTCAACTACAGAGGAACAAAACAGGGTTCTAATAAACAGACTGAGACACAGCTGAAAGTGAAAGTGCACCCCTTTTATGTCTCTTAAGTACTCTGTTTATCTGTAGCAGAACAGTTTTCACTTAACAGAAAATGAGGATGCCACAAGCTGAAACAAAACTACCACTTAGTAAGCTTTTTGTGTTGTCGAGCCTCGCTTTACAACCTCCAGCTCTCTTTATGTGTTTGTAATTACATTTTGCTCATGAAAAGTGAAGTCACTTGTAGCCTGGCTGGTGACTTCAGCTGAACACCCTCAGAGCTAAAGCGATCCACCCAGGATTACGCAAACAGATCTGTCTTACTGCGAGGTGTATCCCCTTCTCAGCCTCTATCTCTGCGAGAACAAAAACCCTGTTCTTAATTCAAGTTTCAGCTCATAAAGCACAAACCAGGAGAGGGATTGGGTTTTTCTTAGAAAGCTTATCAGCTGAGAAGAGCGACCTTTTACGTAGGTTACCACTTAATGCATTGTACTCTGTTCCTAGACTGGCTGCCGAGTCTGGACAATTTTTACCGCGTTTTTTTTTTTCTTTTTTTTTTCCAATGCAGGGCTGAGACTGATGCAGAGACAGGGAAGGGGGATGAGAGCGTTCATCGGATTTCTGGGGATGCTCGTGTGTTTTGCCACCTCCCCACATTGAACACGCACACTCTGACAGTAAACATCCAACCAGGCTGTGAAGCGCCAACGCTTCAGGAGAGCGTGGAGCAACTGCAGCACCTAATTTCCCACCTCCATGCCACGGTGAGCCACACCACCGTCCCGCAAACTGTTTCTACTCCTGTCGGCTTCATCCAGGAGCTCTGCTGCTCCTGGACTCTGTGGATTGTTTGTCTTTTTACTGCTCTCATTTTTATAACCTTCATGCTTCGTTTGTATAACCAGTGGAACACCTTATGCAATCACAGAGTTGGCTCATGATAAGAACAAGAGAGCAGCTCTGTTGGTGCAAAAAAAAAGAAAAAAAAAACATGTAACATTTTTCGACTCTCTTTTTGTGCTCTGCAGGGAGTTTGTGTACTGGAGCTGCAGTTGGACTCTCTTCACACTGCTGCTGAATGTTGTGATGGTGTGAAAACAGACCTAACCTGTCAGGAGAAACTCCAGCAGCCTACTTTGGCGTCAGAGTGCCTGGATACAACAACTGAAGAGTGCGGGGGTGAAAACAACAAAGTGGAAAGTAGCAGCACTGGTGTTTGTGAACTTGGTGGGACTGGTAATTCGGAGAAAGATTCGAGCTCGCCTGAAAGCGCTCCAGCTTCAGATTTAYGCCCCCGGGAGCACGGTCTTGGCCCCCCCGAGGATAGGGTGTGTCCCAGTTCAGACGCTGAGGGAGAGCGGTGCCAAACGGAGCAGGAGGGGAGGGTTGTTTCCAGTCAGAGTTTGAATTTGTGTGACGGGAGTGAAAGGGCAGAGGGTGAGGCTGAAGGAAAGAGCGTCACTGTGGGAATCCTAGCAGCAGCAGCRGGCTGTGGTAAACAGGCAGAGGAAACTGATAGACGAGAGGCTGTGATCCGGGAAGAACAGGAGGCCAAGAAGGGAGAGGAGCAGTCTGAGCAGGAAGCAGGAGACGGCACAGCCAAGAGGAGGGAGGAGGAGACCAGCATCGAGTCAACACTTTTAATCACAACCAGTGGGGAAACGAAAGCTTCAGTTATGGGTCTGTCTCCGTCGTCAGGGAGCTCTGAGGCTTCAAACGCCTCTGACTTAGAAATGACGGGAGAGGATGTAGAGAGAGAAGAACTTAACCAAGAGTTCTGTAACRGACTTAGTCAAGATGAAGAGGAGGTAGGGGGAGAGGGATTAATGTACCCCGTAACAACCCTGAGGGACATACCCAACCCATCGCTGATCGACTGCAATGATGTAATCAAGGAGCATGAATCGGCTGTTCCATGTCTCCTGATAGAAGGCCTCCGTGAGGGGGAACCTCCGCCAGACATAAACAGCCCAGAACAAAACCAGGAAACAGCTGGTAGGGATTATATAGGGAAGCAGCAGTCGAGCTTGGCTTCAGGGGCTTCTTGTCATTCTGGGAATTGTGCTGAAGCTGTGAGCAGTAAAGAGCTGGATGGTGAAGCCATAGCTGAACCTCAACTTATTGAAAGTGAAGCTTGTCCTTTGGATGAGCCTCAGGATCTAGATTTTCGGACTACTGGCAGCTCCACAGAGGACACTCAGAATGATCTTTTGAACTCGGAGCTATCTTCTGAAACAATGCTCACCAAGAGAAAAACGGATTGTGAATTAGMCATGGCACATGGCCTCTCCAGTGACAATGACAGTTTTATTTCTTTTAGAAGCTCTTCAACAGAAATCTTGAACCCCACTCAGGACAATGGCACAACGGATGACGGAGACTCGCTTCGAACAAATATAGAAGAGCCATCCGTAGTTAAACACAAGACTGAGGATCTAAATGATTTACAATCTGATGAAAGCAACCAACTTTCATTAGAACCTGGTTTGGTCAGTGAACTCACACCTTCGGATCCTGAAACTCAGCGGTCATCCAACCTCGAGACAGTGGGGGCTCTTCATCCTGAGGCCACAAAGGAACTGGCCCCAGAGCTTCCAAAGGAGGATTTGTTAGATTCATTATCTTCAGCTAGCAAGGACACTTTACCGGAGGATGAAAGTGACATGGGAGAGCCCAACAGCTCTGCCTTAAATGTAAGAATTGGGACTTCTACATCAGAGTTGTCTACCAATATCTTATCCGAGTCTAATTCATCTACCACTGAAGAAGGGAACCTCACTGGTTTAGATGAAAAAGATGGCCAACAGATAGACTCCAGTGATAAACCAGAGACGACTGAGAAGGGTGGAAATGAGCAGCTAGCCTTAGAACAACCCAAACTGGTAGACTCAGAGAGAACATCGGAGGAGGGGTCAGCTGAGAATCTATCACAGGATACCAATACAGAGTTGACTGTTGCAAATGTAAGTTCTTTAGAAGTAGATCCACCTGCACTTGCCGAAGCATCTTTGGAATGTCACGTTGAGAACCACGTGGAAGAATTTCCAAATGCTGGAGACAAAGTGGATGGAACCTTGGAAAGCTGCAGCACCATAGACCAAGGTGGGTAAACTCTTGTTTTATTTACTTTCTTGATTGTGTTTATTGCAGTTCTCCAGTGTGGTATGTTTATCAAAGTCTCTTTCCTAAGATAATATGCTAAATCAAATTCTGTCTTCCTTAGGTGATTGATGAGAAAAGTTCTGCAAAGTTAAAAGCCATGTAGTTTGCTATAATTGTGGTCAGAGAGGTTTTCAAGCTTTGGTTTGACATCCTGTTGTGATGTATTGCYGGTACAGAGACATGTTTTGATTTTTATGTCTAATTTTCAAACCAGCCAGGACTTAGCGCGTAGCCATTAGCTTGTTGATTTATTTATTTTTTACAAATTCAGCCCTATAATTTTTATTGATTGGACAGTGCAATATTTAAAAAATATGTTGAGCAAAATAAGCCACTAAAACAGGTGATATCAATCTTTAATTAATTAACAACAGCTGTTGTATTCAGTTGTATTCAGTGAGTCTCTGTTACTTGATTACATGCATGTTCTGACTCCAGAGTATGTCAGCAGACACAGTCACATTACTTTATGTGACAGGCTTTCACACACACACAGCTGGGAGGCTGGCTTCATGAAAACAAACACACCGAAGCAAGCTGGCATGTCCGTGTTCRTGTGTGCTTGGAGCAGGAAGTAAGACTTGCAGAGTCTCTCATCTTCAAGTGAACTTTCAGCACTCTTCTGACTGCAATTTTCACTCATCTGAAATAATTGTACCAGACCCAAGTCCAATAAAGAGAGGTCGAGGGCAAAGTTGGCATTGTGCATCACTCAGTGCGTGGGGTGTCATTATGAGTCGGAGGATATATTTACAGCAAGACAGTGGCCTGGTACTGTGTAATATCACAGGGCATCTCAGACAGGCTTTCTGTATTTCCTCAGATTGTATATCAATATGTGGACTTTGCATCTGCACTGGTTCTTCATATTTTATGGATTCATATCTAAGAGTTTTCCACTTCTTGAATTTGCCAAGCCAGGTTTACTGGCATAATCAGAACAAGTTAGCTATTTTTTCCCCACTGCATTAGAACTGTTTGCATTTTAATTTTACAGAACATTTAAATATTTTACATTTAAAAAGTGGTAGTGAAAAATGTGCCTTTCAGGAAAGTTTAACAACAAGTAAACACACATGCTGCTTCTTAGCGATTGTACACTACCTATTAATCATCAGTGTTTATGCAGTTAGGACAGCTTCTTCTTGGTTCACTCTGTAAACACTCTTTTTGTTCCTTCCTGAATTCTGAAGTTGTAATTGAATTGTGTTGTGTGTTTTTCTCCAGAGGTGGACGTCTTCAACTCTGAAGATACTTTAAGTGATGCAGGGGAGGAAAACRTCCCTGCAGAGGGAAATGACTTCTCCAAGGTATGATGGAAATTACTCTTGTGGGTTTGAGCTTTTGTCAAATTCCGCTTTGTTGTGGATATGTCTTTGATGATAACAAATTTTGAAGAAGTCAGTATTTAATGGAGGTTTTTAAAAAGAACATAGCTTTGAGTAGAACAAAACATTGAGCCTGGGTGATTGCTTGTTGCTGACTTCAATACAGAATAAGAGGCAGCTTCTTACATTAAGAATGGAGTCAGTCAGACATGTCAGATTACAAGCTGAACTAGTGAAGCTAATTGTAGTAGTTTTGTTCTATGTCAAAACATCCATCCATCCATCCATCCATCCATCCATCCATCCATCCATCCATCCATCCATGAATAGCCTTCTATCAAGTCCCTACGGACTTCAAAGTGCTTCACACTACAGTTATTCATCCATTAAGGTGGTAAGCTACATTGTAGCCACAGCTGCCCTGGTGCAGAAGGACATAACGACTGAGGCAGATGGAATAGGGGATTGAACTGGCAACCCACTGGTTACAGGATGACTCCCCTACCCACTCTACCTGTACAACTGTACATTTCATGCAGCTCCAGTCTCKTTAGGGTTTAAGCGGACTCTTGTATTTTCTGGTATCATCAGAATGTTCAGATTTTAGTAAAACCATGCCTGGATCATGCTGAAGTCATTATTGTAGGTTTACAGTTAAAATCTCTGCYTAAACAGTGTTTTTTAAACACCAATATTTCAGTGGTATTCGTCAGGAAAAGCTGAGGTTTCTAAAGCTTGTTCAGTTACAAAATAGAACGCCAAAACTTTGTGGGAAGACAGGAAAGGCAAAGAGTTCAATGCGCCAGCAGCTTGTTGGGAATGCTGTTTCCTTTGGAGTCATTTTCTTTGCTTTCTCTCTGTTTTATTTGTAACTTTTGTTAATTGTATCTTTGACTAATAATMTTTTATTGAAGTGGCTTTAAGACCTTTACATAATGAGCAAAATGATTATGAAGTCGCAAAGTCTGTGCCTTGTCCCCATAAAGTTGGTGCACTCTGTCGGCTCAGCCRCTGAGCACATGGATACAATCTTCAGCAGACCAGGCTTTACTCTGAAATTTTGCTGACTGACAGATTCCTCTGCAGCCATAGACTGGAGTGGCTCTGCTTATTCCTGGGTTGTGGTCTAGGTCGGTGGCTTGCACTGAATGCCAGATGTTTGACTGCAGGAGGAGAAWCATGGAGCATGCAGGATAGCAGGGTTGCCAGCAGAGGGGGATGCAGTCTCAGATGCTTCACTGAAGCTCCTCGTCGCGATGGAGTTAACGACCAGCCTTTTAATCCCATCAAAATCTCCTTTCGTTTCGTCATGAGCTGCAAATCTCAAGACATGCTGCATACACATACACGTGTTTCAACTCTTTTGTTTTAAGGATTTAAGTGAACATTGAAGACAAGAATAAATTTCTCATATAGTGTACAAAACATTTCTAATATAAATATGGATTTTAATATKAAGGGACATTTAGCATTTGTCCAAGACATAAGCAGACAATATACACTAAAAAAATAGTAAGGGAATTACAGTGTTAGTTAGTACAGACCTAATGCGTCACAAATTATTTGGCAAAAGTAATCAAGGATAAAAAACAGTCCAAGTGACAACTACAGCAACAACTGGCTGCATGAAAAAATATATAAGGATAATGAAGTAATTAATAATCTCAAAGAGTGCACCAGTGTTTTGACTTTATGTAAGCTGTTTAGACAGCAGATAATTTAGCCCCAGCTGGTTCAGCATGTGTGACATTTTTTTTGCATATTGTATTTCAGGCTCCGGTTACTCCTAGTTAGCCACTCTGCTCTGCAGCACTTTGACCTATAGCGTTGATGCTGCTTGGCAAAGCTTTAAATCACTCATCAGTAGAGACGACAGTCTAACAGCAGTGAGTCCTGCTGAAGAACAGTGACGTGTAAGACATCAATAAAGGAGCATGAGATGAATTTATTAGGATTTTTTTTAAAGAGATTTTGATTAACCAATTTAAGGAAGACCTTAAGAGACAAAAACACATTATGTAGTTGACCAGCGATTAAAAAAAAAAAGGCAGACAGTACTAATGGCAAAATTAGGATTTTAAAAATATCTACTCTGATACCTCCTTTAATGAAAATACAACTTTATTTCTCTCTCTCTCTCTCTCTCTCTCTCTCTCTCTCTCTCTCTCTCTCTCTCTCT